TTTAAATATAATATTTTTCAAATATATTTTTTTAAATTCTAAGCAACAACAATCAAACAAATTTATATTTTACACTATTTTTAGCGCATGAGCCGATATATCACGCTCAATACTTTTTTTTTTTCTACATTAACATTGGGGCGCGCGCACATCTCTAGGACATAGCGAGCGAGTCGAGTTCAGTCTCCCCCTCTTCTCATTCCTTATCTGACATTTGAATGGCTGTTGTTGTTGTTGTTGTTGTTGTTGTTGTTGTTGTTGTTGTTGTTGTAGCGCATTCCACGGTCGACTTCAAATATGCAAACATTCAATTTCGATTTAGAGGCTGTGGAGGCGCATAATTTTTATTGTATTTATTGAATATTTCGAGCATCAAACGTTGCCGCCCATTGACTCAGCATGAAATTACAGTCGGTGGGGCGGGTGTGGGGCGTGGCAGCGACAGGCTTCAGCCCCAGCTCCTGGCAGGGGCGACAGCAACGAATGCTTGTCGAAGCACAGCTGCTGCCTTTGCTTCCCTCTATTTGGCAAGTTTTGCTCAGATCCCAAGCCCCAAGCGCCAAGCTCCAAGCCCTTGGCAGCCATCTTGCAGCCCTTGGCCTTCCCCTGGCCCTCTGCACAGCCGCTGTCCCCTATTCAGCCATCAATTTGTGTAAATTTGAACTGTCACTTTGAAGGCGTTAATTGGATTCAATAAATGTCAAGCAGGGCGCGCGGCGTCAACAGTTGGAGCCAGTGCAGCATCAGCATCAGCATCAGCATCAACAGCTGGCCATGGCTGGCGTTGTCTCTGCTGCCGAATTCATTTTAAGCCAGCTCCCATCCACAAATATCACCCCCGCACCCACACCCCCCACACGCCCACACCTTCAGCCCCTTTCAAGTTATATTTAGGACACGACACAACAACATTTTGGGGCCATGGATTTTTGTGGCTTAGATTGGAGGCGGGGACGGCGTGTAGTGTGCCTTAGCCGCCTTGGCATGATTTTAGCCGGATTGTGGGCGTGTCAACAGCCACAGTAGCAAACACTTTGTCAGCATTGAGCACTGAGCGAAATTGGGAGAGATTGGAAATATGAGAATTAGAGAGAACAGCATGAACAGCAGATATTCTAGATGGTTGCAATATCTGAATTCTCTTTTTAGGTGTCATACTTACGTGCGTATGCCCATCTCGCTCTTATAACCGTATTTTGCTGTATCAATCTCTCTTTGTCTCCCTCGCTCTATCTGTATGACTCTGCCTCTATCTTTGTATTATCGCTCTGGCAGTTTATCTCACTGTGTATTTATTTTTCCTTCAATCTTTGTTTCTTATACACCACATTTCTTTCATTCTCTGTCTTTATCTATCTATCTCTCTCGCTTTCTCTTTTGAAGTATGCATTTTCTCTGTCTCTCTCTCTCTCTCTCTCTCTCACTCTCTAAACATCTTCTCGGTCTCCCTCTCTCGCTCTGTCACTCTGCAACCATCTTTTTCTCAGTCTCTATATATCTTCTTCTCGGTCTCTGTTTCCTTGTAGTCTCTCGCTCACACACTCACTCTCTCCCGCTCTCTCTTTCCGTACATCTTCTCTGTATCTCTTTTTCTCTCTCTACATCTTATTAACTGTATCTTTTTCTCTCTGTATCCTCTCTTTCGCTCTCTCACCTACACTCTCACTCTCTTTCTCACTCTTTTTCTATGCAACTCTGTCGCTCTCTCCCTTTCCCAGTTCCACTTAAATACATATATGTTGCCTATAAAGAATCAAGGAGTTCCTATTAACAGCAACAATCTCTACTCTCAATTTCTCTGGCACTTTCGCTCAGTGTAGTCGAAGAGTCATATCGCAGTATTTCAATGACTAAAAATACATATTGCACACACACACACACGTACACATACAGAAAACACTCACACACACATACAAGCGTATATGGGGAGTACTTAGAAGATATATTGTTGTCTGTGGCTTATCGGCTAAGGACCTTAATAAAAATGTTTCCCTAAGAGGATCGCAGCAAATTTGTTGGCTTTGTTCAGGCTGTGGAGATAAACAAAAGACAAATTGAAAGTGGAATTGCGATGGCACCGACAACGGCGCTGGACGTGTCCGGCAGCCAGCCGACGCGCTGCACCACTGAGCCGTCGAGCCACCGAGCCACTGGGCCGCTACTTTATCATTGAGATAAAAAAATAAACAAACAAAAAAAGAGTTGAAAGCAGGTTAAAATCTGCACGCAACCGGATGAAAATTAAATTAAAAAGCAAAAAACAAAAAAAAAAAAAACAAAACAAAAAGCCCAACAAAAAATGAAACGGAAATATAAAAATGAAAATGGACCAGAAACGGAACAGCGGCGGCGGCGGCGGCGGCGGCGGGTCGCTGGGGGCTGGGGGCTGGCGAAGGGCAAATGCAAATGCAAATGGCCGTAAAAGCCCTTTGGCCCACATAACTCGGCCACGCCCACCGGCAGCCGTTGCGCCCGGCTCATTCTCGCGCGCGCCGCCTGTCAGCGTAAATAAGTGTTGCCCACATTTCGGGCCACTTCCATGGCAAAAAGATGGCCTACAAATGATGAGCAGCGCATAAAAAAACGAGGCGATCAATTCTATTGCCTACTTTACAGCGCGTCTGCCAGCTGCCCCGAGCGTGCGTGCGTGTGCTTGTGTGTGCGTGTGCGTGTCTGTATGTGTGTGCGTGTGTCATGCATAAATAATTTAGAGATTATGTTCACGCTGGTAGAAAACGGAAACCGCTGGCTTTTAGCATTTGACCGCAGCAATTAGGCAGAAAAAAGTTGGAAAATACTATAAAAAGAAAAAAAAAAAAAAAAAAAAAAGAGAGCACATAAATAAAAGTAGATAAAACATGCAAAGCCCACATTCAGTCGACTGCACAGCTCATTACAAATTATTGAATAGGCCATTATAATATGCACAAAGGCCAGCTGCGTGCGGTTGACAATGGAAACATTAGCTGGATGCCGAGCCGAGGCCCATCAAACGGAAAAAGGAAAAGAAAAATCAAGCTAAATCCTGTATGCTTTGGGCTTAGCTGATGATTAGAGCAAAGAGCTCCAGCTAAACTTAATAAATCACCTTCGTAGTGCAGGGAAAAATTATATACATATATTATGATATACGATAGTTGAATAGTCTACATATTTGACTGATATTTGATCGATAGCGATAGTTGCACAATCAATCGAGTGGAAGATCTTGTTTATACACAGCTGAACACATGAACAGTTAATGTTATGTTGATGTAACTGTTAATGCTATGTCCAAGCTAACGTTAATGTAAATGTTATGTTAATGTAAATGATATTATAATGTTAATATTATTAAACATATATTATTGGGTATGTACATTGGGTAGTAATTGACCTGTTTAGCCCATTACTGGGGACATTAGCCACATCGAAGATAAGATAAAGATCCAATGCATCGATTTTCTATTAACCATCAATCAATCTGTCAGTCAATTACATCTGCTGAGCTTATAGGATCCAAAGAGAAGATGAAATATAGTGCGGCGTCTTTTGTGGGGGTGAGTGGGTTATGTTCCATAACTACTCCCGTTATTTTGTTATCGATTGAAAACCTTATCGAAAATAACTCACAAAATTACAGCTCCTATACCTTTAGAGCTAGACTCTCCAAATTTCATATATGAAGTCATATGAATTTTATAAAATTTCGATTTTTTTTATACTTGTTTTTGGTTGATTTTATTTTAATATGTAATATAACAGTCGTGCATTCGGCATTCCAAATTACTCCCATCATAAACAACTCCGCTACGCCGCTGATGATATTTAGGTATATACATTATATACAGTAGAATCTGGTTAAAAGACTCCGGCTTTTGCTACGAAAATTCTGGTCCTCTGACTCGCTTATATGAGCAAATTTATATGGTTTTAGCCTCTCTCGGGTACTAATGTATATATTTTATGCCCCTTTACATATACACCCATATGGTACTCGAACAGCTCATCCATCTAATTGTAGAGCTTTAGCTTGATCCGTATAGCAGCTGAGTACAGAAATCCCATTCCTAATTATTCCTATTTAGAAGTAAGCAACAAGTTTACATACATATGTATGTATCAAGTTTATATACATTTTCTATAGTTTTTTTGTTGTTTACACTTACAGGGTATAGCAAGCCAAAATCATCAGAGTTTGTTTTTCTCTCTACTTGCAGTTTCACCCGAATCGATTGTCATCCCCATCGTTTCGTGCATCTTTGGCTTCCCGATATTGGCGCTGATCGTCATCTGCTGCCTGAGACGTCGAGCCAAGCTGGCCCGGGAGCGGGACAGACGGCGCAACTATGATATGCAGGACCATGCTGTCAGCCTGGTCAGATTTAGTCCAATTCATAGGCTTAGTGAGTTTGAATGTTGTAATGTGTGTACGAAATTTTCATTGTTTCTCTTGTTCTTCTTCTTGTTTTTTCTTCTTCGGCAATTTGACAATATTTATTCACAGCTCGTAAAAGTTATCGAAATATCGATTTTTAAATTTATTTAAATGACAAATTTTCATAGAATTCATATTCACATTTCATATAGCGCTCGCTCTCTCTCTCACTCTCACTCTCTCTCTCTTTCCCTCTCACTCTTCTTTGCTTTTTTATGTGGATCTCAATGTGCCTGTCCGACATATCGTAGTGTTTATCTTTTATCTTCAACATTTTGCACTTTAACAAAAAAATTAACCACGATTCACCGCAGCCAACTTCAAGCCGATTCGACCTGCCCAATTTACAATTTTTTCCACATTGTTTTTCTTGCATAAATTGCATTTAAAATTGCCAAGCAAACATGTGAGAACACACACGCACACACACACCTGTCTGCTACCTGCCCTCATCACAAATTGTGTTCCCACCTTTTCGAGGCATTCCATTTAAACCCTTTAATATATATTCATAAATGTTGTATGCTGATGTACGAAATTTAACAAAATATAAAAGTCGCTCGTAAAAATTGTACGAAAATTTCTGAAAAAAATTTTTTTTAATCTTTAAAAATTCTTTCGGGTAATTTAAGCTGAAACACCTTTATTATTGTTCAGCTCTACATATTCGCAATGAATAGAAAGTAGGAAACTTTAGGCTCATTCATGTAATCGAAATGATTATATTAGTCTTGTTCTATGCTCGTCTGTTCATAAAGTACGTTCCAAATAATTATATATCCACGGCTGATGTGGGCGTGGCAAATCTGACTATATATCCTTATATATCTCAATCGCTATTGATGCTAGAGACTTGAAAGTTTAACATAAATAATACATGACTAATATGTCTACGACAATTATGGGGGCGTGGCTAATCCGAAAATGAATCTGGCCAATTTTGGACTAAAAATGAGTCTTCTGCAGTCTTTGGTAATCTCTCTATATAAGATGGGAAAGCGAGTAAAGTGCAAAGTAGAGCAATCTAACTGTGAAGTCATTAAGCAGAGTCTAACAGAAAAACGCACAGATTCTCTATATAGCACTTTGATTAGGTATTACTATCAGAATGTACAAATTTCAATCAAAGACAACAATCGAATAGATTGAATAGGGGAATGGGAATGTTCTAACCAGAGCTTACTAGATGAGTAAATATATATTTTCAACAAAAGAAAAGAAACACATCTTCCACTTTCAATGAGTTCGACATACAAAAGGGGAAAGTTAAGAGCTTTCCAAATAATTTATTAAGATTTCTTTAAAATGGGAAAAGAGGAAGAGATATATAATTGGACAAGTGCATAAAAGCGCAGAACTACCCCAGTAGCAACAAAAAGTCGGTAAAAATATGTATTTTGTATTTAATTTGTTGTGAAAGAAACTTGCCATCCCACCAAACAATCACTGCCAACATCTGTCACAAGGGCCGAGTCCATTAAAGAGTTACGAACTGGAAGTAAAGAAAGAGCCCAAAACTAACGCCAAATACATACATACTGTTGCTAGTCAGGTTGTTGGTAGAGGTGGTAGGGGGTAGAGGCAGGCGAGCAGGGGCAGATGTAACGAAACTTGACCCACTTGCATGCGAGAGCAGGCAACAGTAACATAACAGTCCATTATACCCAGCATATTGCATCAACAAATAGGATATATAAACATGGCCGAGAGGAAACGAAACGAAACGAGACGAGGCGAGACGAGACGCAGCGGGTCGCAGCGGGACGGGTGGCATGTGAACACGACTCCCGAGTCAAAGTTCAAGCTGAGTGCCTGCTGCGACTCACACACACACACACACACATACACACACACACACACAGTGGGAGATATTTATGCTGTTATGCATGTGTCAAGCACAGCTGTTAAACTATAGCCCAGTCTCCCAGCTCGCCACGCCCCCTTTTCCGCTCACACGGCCGCCTGCATTTGCATTGCATACCTTTGGGCGCTCGTCCTCGTTTGCATATGAACAACAAAACTGAAACCCGTCTTTTCACTCGAGCCATCCCCTTAACGCTCCTCGCTTACCCCCTGGCCACTGTCTCGTGCCACTGCCGCACCGTGCCCCTTGTCCACCTTAATCAAGAATCTCAGTCGCCTTCATGCACGCATGCACAGTGCACAACGACATTTCTCTTCTTTTAGTCTTAATTTTTGTGTTTTGTGGCTGTTGTTGTTGTTCTTAAATATATACCTAATAAAGGGTATCTGCTAGCTGTGCATGCGAATAGGGTGGCTATGCGAGAGTAGCTCACGGCATACGGAGGAGCTGCATATGTATAATTAAGAGTCACAGAGACTCAGAGCAATTAACATAATACTAGCGGAAGTCGGGTACAGTAGAGCCTGCCTAGTGCGAATGCATTGATGTGAAAAGCTGACAATCTCTATAATCATAATCTGTGAGTGTTAAGTTTAGCGAATGACAAATGCAATTCAGATTAAAAAGCTAGAAATCATATTTCTACCGATTTCTCAATAGGCAGGACCTACTGTAGCTACGATTGTCAATTAAGATTTCGATTTTTCAGATTAGCGAAAAACAAATCCCAACTTCAAATTCAAAGAAATCATATTTCTGCAAATTTTTCTATAGGCAGGCCCTACTGTAGTTTGGATTGCCAATTAAGATTCAGATTAAGATTAAAGGACAAAAATTCTAATCAAATTCAGTTACTATAATTCATATTTCTACTAATTTCGCTATAGACAGACCTTACTGTAGTTGCAATTGTCAATTATGATTCAGTTAATTAAGATTCACAAAAGGAGAATCCCATTAAAATTGAAATTCATATTTCCCTTTAGGTTACCTTTACTGTACTTGGGATTATTCAAAAATGCCTAAAGAAAATAGAAGCAAAACTCCCACATCGTTTCAATATTCACAATAGACAGGGTATTCCGCAAGTCGGGCACACTCGCTGAGTGCACTTCAACTTGTGTAACCGTAAATTTCATATTCAGTGTTTGCCTGGCAGCTGGCTGCGGGTGTTTGCTGCCACTTTGAGAAGGGCCAACAACAACAGCGACTGCTGATGAAGCTGTTGTTGTTGCACACAATGATGATGATGATGCTGATGATGATGTGGGTGACACGATAACGAAACGTTGACAAACCGCGAATTACACTTATTTAGCCCCGCACCCCCTTCATCATGGCCACAACTCTGGCAGCAAATGTTTTGATGGTTGCAAATTTACGTTTTTGCATAAATTTTGAAAACAATTACGCATAACCGCAAGCACCGCACGAGAACCACAATAACTTTGGCGCAAAAGGCAGCCAACGACACAGTAACAGTAACAGTAGCAGGCAGTGCATAGTGGAGCGCTCTATGTAAATTGGGCAATAACAAACAGGCGGAATGGCGCCTGCCTAATGCTTTGAGACATTTAAATTGGGCGAGTTTTATGTTGCATAGCTTTAAGCTGCACTTGGACAAGCATAACATGGGGTTAACAGTCGCCATCAATGCTTGCGCTGTTAATGAACATAGATAGCCACAGAAAAATTTCGTTTCCTTAACAACCTTGTTGTAAATTGAATATACCATATGCACAACGGCAATAGCTACTGCTTAGACGGCTGTTAAAGAGCTTAAACGTTAACATGCTATAATGTTACTGGCAAAACAGTCTTTGGGCAATTAAATTTCCTTTACTTTAAGCTGCAACAGCATGAACCTTTTAACAGTGGCTATAGCTGATAGATAACAGAGATAGATTGGGATCATTTAGAGTACATAAGCTTTATATTACATAGCTGTAATGTAACATGAAGCTGAAATTAGAAATGATGCACATAACATGACCATTATGCGCACATCCTGTTAGACTGCGATTGGATGGTTTAGGTGCGTTGCACGTTTGGAAATGCACATTAAACTTAACCTCGATCTGTTCGTCGCACGTTTTCAATTTGTTTTTGGACCACACGAAAGCATACGCTCATTTCACACTTTAACACTAAACATTTTCCATTTCGTTTGCCGCCGGCAGTTTAAAGGATATTTTAACTAATTTTAATTGCTTCTGTTCTGTTCCTTGTTTTTTGTTTGCTTCGATTGCTTTAGATTACCGATCGTCGAGAGCTATCAGTTTACGTCCTGAACGAAGCCTAAGCCAGGGCTTCACCTCAGTGGAGCTGGACACAGTGCTGGAGGAGCGCTGCAGCGACGTGGAGCAGACACAAACCGAAATCATAAATCCCGAATCGCCCATGGACACCACCTCCTACAAGATGTCCTTCTCTTCGAGCTAACAGTTAGCAGTAGCACAACAGCAACAGCAGCAGCAGCAGCAGTCGACGTCGCCGACAGCGCAGCCGCAGACAGCAGCCATGGCTATGCAGCTGCTGCCGCCACGTTCGATGTCATCGACGCTGACGCCGCCGCTGCGCAAAGCGGGCAGCGTGCGCGAATCTGGCGAGACGGCGGCGCTAGCCAAGCGACGCAGTCGCCTGCAGGAGCTGCGCGCCGCAAGCAGCAGCCAGGCCAGCGAAGCGGCCATCGCGTTTGGTGTCGGCAAGCGCGATTCGAAGCGACGCCATGGCGCCAGCGCCGGCGCCGACACCAGCAGCGGCAGCAGCAAACGCTCAGCAGCGGCCGCCATGCGCAAATCACAGTCGCTGGACGCCGCCGAAAGCTATTCGCTGGCCAGCATTCAGTCGCCCCTCTGGGTGACGCTCACCAATGCGCGCACAATTGAGGAGCTGGCACAGCAGAAACTGTAAATATTTTACAGACAACAAACGGGAAACGAAACGAAGAAGCAACGGAAAGAAGGAAGGAAGATCAAAAATACCCCACCAACCAACCAGGCTTGTTGTTGTTGCAGCTGTTAAATGTTAATGAGGAGTTACCCCCTCCAAATCCGCATTATGAAATGAAATCCAACGGTTTTTCCTATATAGTCCAAATAGCTGAATCCACCTTGTAAATGTGTAAGCAAATGTAACTGCATAACGAGTATTCAACAATTTACAACATTAGCAATTGCATATAGTTAAGCTAATGACCAAAATTAGTTCAAAATAAAGAGAAAAATGTAAAGCAAAGAAAGTGTTTTCTTTTTGGTGCAACTGCACTGCACTTACTGTTAAACTCATAATGGTAATGTAAAGCTTACAGCATGCAAATGAAATCTCAACTCCTGCCAGGCTTAACAGTATGTTACTGCTTGCTGACCCCAAGGTACAGCGACTGTTAATCTATTAATTCAAATAAACAGAAAAAATCTTTGTTTTGATTTTTCTTAGTTTTTATTTAAATTATGTTGTATATGTAATAAGAGCTTAAAATACAAATTTAATTTCATTATCAAAATACATTGTTATACAATTTCCTTAGTTGCTTGTTTTTCTTACGTTTTGTTATAGATCTTTAGTTGCTTGTTTTTAATATTTCACTTAATCAATTATTTAGTTTATCTTTTTGTTTACCGCAATTCTTGTTTTTTCATTTTTTTTTTTATTA